GTGAAATTCTTCCTGATTTTTAGATTTTACAGGTGAACGTGTGGATGTGATGCTTATGGCAGTCATGTGTATGTATGGCAGAGAAATGACTAAATATTCCCTCTAATATTATAAACTTTGTTTAGAAACACTCATCACTGAAACAGTTGATAGAATAATTACAATGATTAAATCGTTTATTGATGAATGGAAATAAAAAAGCCTTTAGCTTAGTTTCATAGATTTCAAAATGAATTCATTGCTCCTTCTTGTATTCAGCAGATTCTTCTTCCCATATTTTCAAAGTTTCTCCAGGATGATTTAGGTGGACCATGTTCTGTTCTGACAGGAGCAATATGATCAATAACTCAAGAAGGTGCATTAGAGAAATCATTTTATAATAACAGTACAGGTAACGTGTAGCTTTAAAATGTACTAATTATTAATCCTTTATTTATCCAGGTAAAAATCTCATTGAGATTAAAAATCTCATTTCCAAGAGAGACCTGGCATCATAGCAACAAAAGTCACATACCACATAGGTATATAACATTTAAAACAAATACAATATCCCATACAAACATGTGTAAAATATACAATAACAGATCAAATTAAGAGTACATTAAAAACAATCACACTGAGTAAAAGAGCTGTTCTCTCGTTCCTTTAATTAAGACAGACTTAAACTCTCCCAAGGTAACCAATTCTGATAATTTCAGTTCCTTCTGCAGATTATTCCAGGAAGCAGGGGCAGCGTATTTAAAAGCCCTTTTCCCCAATTCTGTTCTGATTTTTGGGACAATCAATTGTATGATTTTGTTCGAACGAAGGTTGTATTGGTTGTGGTTTTCACACATATAAACACATAAATAAGATGGAACCAGCCCAAGGAGAGATTTATAGATAAAGATCAACCAATGGGAGAGTCTGCGAATATGCAAAGATGGACATTTAGCAGCAGCAGACAAAGAACAATGATGTACATGATTAACTAATGAGTGTTTAGATGGATGAACAATAAGCTTCTGAGAAAATGCTGTAATGATAAGAAATGGCAACATTTGTGATGTGATACTGATACATCTGGAAGATCAAGGCTGTGGTTTTGTAAAAGGCCACTCCTGATTTGTTATTTGAGTTTATAGGCAGAGGATGTCAGCCGGTGATCAGCTGATCACGGGGTCGGGTTTAAAAGAGATGCCACCCACCTGTTCGCCGCTCAGACATTGTTCTCTTCATGTCAGGAGCTCCGAAACTTTGCCGACGTCAGTCTCCACCTGATTCAGCAACCGTGAGTGTTTTTCCCTTCGATCCTTTTTCTCATCCCGGCTCCGCTCGCTCTCCGTCTGTAACGGCAGTTCGGAAGCCACGCTTCGTACACTGATCGTTACTAGAATAACTGCGTGTCTGTTCCAACCCACCGCGAGCCTTCGCCGTGTTTGGGTCTAGCCAGCACGCCACACGGGCACGCCGAACTACTGTGTGTAATTCGCCCGATCGTGACAGGATGTCTGAGCCACATATAGACCCAGCGGAATTCAAACGGCTGAAAGCCGAAGTTCTATATCTTCGCGGTGTGGTAGATCGAATGAGCACAAAAATGGAGTCCCTCACCGAAACTGTCCTCCAACTTTCCACTTCCGTTACCTCGCTGCAATGTCAGCCAGCGCCGGTGAGCGCGGAGCCCCAGATCGGACTACCAGATAAGTGGAACGGAGTTGATGGCCGGCCTGATGGTTTGCTCGCCACTTTAGACATGCTGTTTAAATGTCAGCCCACTAAATACGCCACCGCCCATGCAAAAGTTGCAATGTTAACCTCTCTATTGTCTGGCCAGGCTCAGGAATGGGGCGTGGCTCTCTACAACAATAAATCTGCAGCTTACAATGACTATGCCCTGTTTGTGGAGGAATTAAAAAAGACGTTTGTTCCCCCTAGCAGTGAAGTGGAAGTGGAGTCACAGCTGCTTCATTTACGCCAGGGCAGTCGACCTGTCTGTCACTTTGCCTCCCAATTCCGCACCCTGGCCGCTAAGCTAAAGTGGGGAGATGCTTCTCTGCGCTCTATTTTTCTGGAAGGACTGGCTGATTACATCCGAGATGAGATGACCGGCCGTGAGGCCCCAAAAACTCTGGATGAGGCCGTGGACCTCGCCCTGAAGATCGACCAACGAGTGATGTCGCGGCCTCACCACACCCCTCGGGCCTTCAAACCCTTCCAGCCTCAGAGGGCCACGTCTTCGCAGCCTCCTCCCCCCTCTGACAGAGCCACTGCTAGCCCAAGCAGTACATACAGCGAGGAGCCCATGCAGCTGGGTGGACTCTCCAAAGAGGAGAGAGAGAGACGCTGGCGTGAGGGTCTCTGCGCCTACTGTGGATCAGCTCGACACCGTTGT